CACTAGGTGGCGACAGTCTTGGGACCCTCAATGTGGAATTCCTCTTGACAAGGCTTGTGGGTTTTCCTGAGGGTGGAAGCTTGTTTTACTTCAGACTCCTGTCGAGTGCAGGCTTTGAGAGTTGTGTTGGAAGGGAGACTTGCCGGGGGTGGGGGGTAGGGGGTGTGGCGTGTGCACTGATTCAGGGTGTCCCTAACCTCCGCTGCTCCTCACATCACCTGGAAACATGGTGCTTATTACCACCGCAGAGGTACAGGATCTGAGCCTCAGTGAGGGGCAGTGTCCATGGGTAACAGTGGCGGAACCAGGGTCTAGACATTGGTGTCCAGTCTCCAGCAGAAACTGGCCTCCTCAGCAGTTAGTGGCCAAGTGAGGAATGGAGAATCTAGGGATTTGGGGGTTCATCTTAGTATAAGTGGGGTTAGACGTTGGGTGGGTCCAGCGGAGCCACTGTACCCCAGTTCCTGGGTTTGCAGCTGGGCAGAGCCCTGATGGTGGGGAGGGTAAAGTCGGATGGTCAGGGGTAGGCTGCAGAACCAGTGGAAACTGAGTGTCCTAGAAAGTGTCCTGCGCCTGCAGTGGCCAGGGGCCGTGGGCCGAGGGACCTGGGAACCCTTGGGGGCATGAGAGGACCTGCCACAACAGAAATCAAAAGACATCTTGTTTAAAATTTCAAGTTGCCATGGAAATGCGCCTCTCTACTCAGCTTATGTTTAACAGCTCAACAGATGCCAAGTCCCTGAGGGTATCTGGGGACACTCCTATTCTCCACATACAGTATGGTGAGACCCCAAGGGGTCAGACCTTCAACATAGGAGATCCTAACATGCTTACAGCCCCTTCCTTAGTCCAGACTCCGACCCTAGGGAGTGGACACGTCAGTGTTTCTGTATTGGGGTCTCCTGTCTTGAAAGAAAGGTTCAGATGCCAGGGTTTGGAGATGACTTAGTTGGTAAAGGGTTTGCACAAGGGTCTGAGTTTGATTCCCAGGACCTGAGTAATCTCGAGAACCACGTAAAAGAAGCCAGGCATGTTGGTGTGCACTTGTAACCCAGCACTGGGAAGGCAGAGATAAGTTCTTTGGGCAGCCAGCCCCGCCGGTTTGGTAAGGTCCAAGCATTGAGAGACCTTGTTTGGAAATAAGCTGGATGCCACCTGAGCCACACCACCTGGGGTTGCCCTGGTGTCCAGAGGCATGGACATATATTGTACTTGCATACCCTTGAACATGCATGCGTACAGAAACACACAGAAAGGTTAAGATGCCAAGTACAAGTCAGGGTGGTTTGGAGGCCGTGTGACGGCTGACACATGGTCATGTGAAACAGGCTTCCCATGAGTCACTGGAAATGGGGGCAGTAATAGTTGGATAAGTTGTACATATGTATGTGTGGCAGTCCATTTTTCACTATTGTGAGATTCTCAAAGCTGGGCACTGTAAAGAAGGGGTTGATTATAGCTCAGTGTCTGGGAGGCTGAGAGCGCAAGACCAGGCAAGCCCACAGATTTGGCTTCTGTCCAGGGCCCCTCACCTTGGAGCACACCATCGTGCCGGTGCCACGGCGGAGATGCCTGTGACGGGGAGCCCCTGCATAGCTAGAAGGAAAAACAAAAATGAGGTGGAGGCACACCGAGACCTCCCACCAAGCCCAACCTCTTGAAAGCCCACCTGTTTCAACTGAGAACCGAGTGCTCTCTGCACATAACCTTTGCGGGACACTCTGATGCATCATAGCCGTAGAAGACGGAGAAGGCGTCTTCAAGGTGCGGTCACCGCCTTTGTGTGTTCTCCCTACGACAAGACTGCGTCTGTGCACCTGGCTTGCCTGCTTAGTAGACACAGCCCCTATGTTCCTCGGCCATCTGCTGCTTTTTCACTTACCTGTGGCACGGGGGTGTTTACTTCATTTCTGCAGGGCCAGTTCCTTCAGCTAGTTCATTTTTGGTGGCTGTTTTGAACTCTGCTGAGCCACTTGAATTGATTTATCAGTTACTGTGCCAATGGGCATTTGTCTCACTGAGGGGCTTGTGTTCATGCAGAATGTTTGGTGGACATTGTGTGCTTGTGTCATTGTGTTGCGGGGTCACTGTCTATGGGGGTACATGTCTATCTGGGACTGAAGCTTCTCCATTTTACCTGTGCCTCTCTGAGGCTGAACACGTTCCTATCTGCATTGGCCATTTGCACTGTTTCTGTAGTCACTGTATCCATTTTCCCACCCTGCTCTCCCTGTGTTTCTGAGAGTGTGGAATCCAGAGTCTCATGTTTGCTAAGCCTGTGTTCTGCTGAGCTGCATTTCAGCCCAAGTCCTCTGACTTTCAAGTCTTGTTTTATCGAGGACACACAGCTTTTAATGGGAGCGTTTTTCCATATATCTTGGTTGCTGGTTTTAGTATGAAGACTTGTTTGTTTATTGTGTGTGTGCATGTGGAGGTCAGAGGACAACTTTTAAGAGTCAGTTTTCTCCATCAGGTAGGGGATTGAACTCAGGTCACTGGGCTTGCCAGCAAGCCCCTTTACTCACAGAGCCATCCCACCAGCGTAAGACTCCTGATTTTAATGTGATGCCTAACAGGTTTTTGTTTTATGCCAGTTTTAGGCTTTCCAGGGAGTTAGTTTTGTTTGAAGCTTTTCACTTGTTTTGTTTTGTGTATCGTAGTGTAGCCCAGGCTAGCCTTGAGCCCTTGTTCCTCATGTCTCAGCCTCTTGAGCCCTAGGGTGACAACCATGCCTCACAACCTGCTCAGACTTGTGTGGTTTTGAGGTCTCCTTCCATGAAGCACGTTTGCGTGGGGGAGGCAGGTGTGCAGAGTTGGCCCTCCTCGTCTTCCCAGGACGGGGAGCCAGCTGTGCAAGCACATCTGCAGGAGTGTGTCACTTCCTCTTTCCCTGCCCCCCCCTTTTCCCATACCCAAGATGGGTTTTACGTGGTCTGACTTTTCTTTTTTCAATGGAACTTTTCTGAGCCAGTATCATCAGGCATTTTATAATACATTATGATGTTCCAGAAGGTCTCCCTGGGAGCTGTTCCGGAATAGTCTTTCTGTATGGTGATTTGTGTGTGTGTGTGTGTGTGTGTGTGTGCGTGCTAAAATGTGATTTTATTTGTATGTTAATAAATAAAGTTGCCTGGGGGTCAGAGCTAATAGCAAGCAATAGCAGAAGCCGGGCGGCGGTGGTGGTGGTGCACACCTTTAATCCCGATCACATGACAGGCAGATCTCTGTGTGTTCAAGGATACAGCCAGTATGGAGACACACGCCTTTAATCTCAATACCAATCATAGAAGACCTGGAGGTCTGTATAGACAGGCAGTGACGAGGAGTTCATGTGGTTGGGTTTAGAGCCAATGAGAAGGTAGAACAGAAAGTCAATAAAAACACAGATACACAGGAAGTAGGTCTCTTGCTGAGGGGAAGGACGGCAGTGGCAGGAAGGGTAAGAAGGCGGTTTTAAGTCTCAGCTCTTAGCTACTGCTCTGCCCTCTTGGGCTTTTAACTCTGCATTTAGCTCTGTGTTTCTTATTTAATTAGACTGTTACATCTACATGTCCATACATATTGTTCTTATAGTTGAGTTGCTGCTCAAACCCCCTTCCTCATGCCCACCACACACACACACACACACACACACACACACACACACACACACACACACACACCAGACTTACCATCGTTCTAACTCGTTGAGAACACAACTCTGTTGCTTGAACTTAAATGAGAATTTTTAGTTTTCCTTCAGTATGCTTTTATGCCTATGATCTAGCACTCAGGAAGCAGAGGCAGGAGTTTGAGGCTAGCCTGGCCTAGATGAGATCCTGTCTTAACTTCCCACTCCACCAAAAGTTCTCTAAGTATGTAAGTCTGGGTTCTAGTGTCCTTTGACCCAGACGTAGTGCACTCGCTTCCTGAGTCCTACAGTCAAGACAGGGTCCCGGCTCTACCCACACATACTGCTGTTCCTGCTAGGCCCAGCCCCAATTGTCAGCACCTAAGGACAGACCTGGCCTTTATTAGTTACTTGGCCAGGAGGGTGACTCATGGGCTGAGCTGGAAGTGACTGGTCTCCTGGCTCTGGAGCCAGTTCACAGGTCTGGAGGCCAAGGTATTGATGTAATAGTTTTCCTTCTCAGAAGCCGGAAGCAAAGCCCTTGGTTGACAGGAAAAACCAGAGGGGCTCCTGGGAGCCTGGTGCCCCAGGCACATTCAGTGTGGTTCCTTAGTTCTCAGCAAGTGACACCAGCCCAGCTTCTGTTGGCTTGAAATGTGCTGGGGATGGAGCTCGCAGAACCGGGGAGATGACTCAGGCCTGAAGTAGGAGGAAAGAACTGCTTCCCGGAAGTTGTCCTCGGACCTGCACATGGTCGCACATACATACAAACAAAACAATTGAACATTTTTGTTTGTTTGTTTGTTTTTGTTTTTGTTTTTGGAGACAGGGTTTCTCTGTGTAGCTTTGGCGCCTTTTCTGGAACTCATTCTGTAGCCCAGGATGGCCTCGAACTCATAGAGATCCACCTGCCTGCCTCTGCCTCCCTAGAGCTGGGATTAAAGGCGTGTGCCACTATCGTCCCCAGCTGAAAATGTCTTTAAGTGAGGCTCATGAACATTACTTCTTTTAGTTTCCTCATCCATTAGGACATACACAGATTGACTGGGGTTTTTTTTTGTTGTTTTTGTTTTTGTTTTGTTTTTTTGAGGCAGGTTGGAGCTACATGGTCAGGCTGAACTCCTGACACTCCTGACTTCCCCAATGCAGGGTTTACACACATCCAGCTTCAGGCTAGCTGTCCTTCTAGAACCCTGAACGAATCTCTTAAGCCCAGTCCATCAGGTACATAAGGTTTTAAAATAGCCAGGAGGGGACATGCATACTGTCATGTGTTGTGTTACAGGGTCGCATCAAACCAGGCTTCATATTGGGGCCATAAAGGCAGCCAGGAGGCCTGAGCAGTGTCCTTGTGTGGAAATTGTTCTGATGCCACCTCTGTTCTTTTTAGGTGGGTGCAGGATCCAGCTTCCAGAATGTGGTGGTCCTTGGTACCTCTCTCTTGCCTGCTGGCACTGGCGAGTGCCCACAGCCAGCCTTCCTTCCACCCACTGTCGGATGACCTGATCAACTATATCAACAAACAGAATACGACATGGCAGGTGGGCAGTGCTGCTGTTTCCTGTCGTCTGCCTGTCTGTCTTTGTGGGTCCCTGCTTTGAGTCACCTTGTGCACACTGCTTTTGAGGTGACTGACTAGCCATAGGACATTCTTTTGTGGAAGTTGAAGCTTATGAACCACACCAGCTTCCTCTCTGATCTCCACATTGTGTACATGGGAGTACACATATGTGTGAACATTTGTACATAAAGCTGTGTGGAGGGGTAAGTGAGCTCCAACACCAGGTGGACCCTAGGAAAACTCCATGGAAGGTGAGGTGGTTCCTTAGTGCTTCTTGCCATCATTTCCTCCATGTCCGGGCAGGTCTCCTGCTAACAACTGACAGCAGACCAGAGAATACACGATGGTCTGAGAACTGTGCTCTGACCCTGAATCCCTCTGCCTGTTCCCCTAGCTCCTAGAATTGGGCAGGACCCTTGGCCTACCCATCCCCTTGGCCTACCCATCCCCATCCTGGGAAATCCCTTGGTCAGTGGGTGACTGTCCTGCTGTGACTCTCTTCCAGGCTGGACGAAACTTCTACAATGTTGACGTAAGCTATCTGAAGAGGCTGTGTGGTACTATCCTGGGTGGACCCAAGCTGCCTGAAAGGTGAGTGACAGACCCCAGAGTAGACCTGCCCCCAAATATTGGCTTGTGAGCAGTAGTGCTAGTGTTGGGGTGTAGGTAGAGGTAGAGGAAGCCCCCTCTGGATTCCCCAGGTGTGCTCTTCCAGGCTGCAGAGACTGCCTCAGATGCTGGATTTACTATTTGATCTCCAAGGTGCCTTACCCTCAGGTGAGGTCCCAGGCTTGGAATTTGAGGTCTGGCTACACTCAGCTCTGGATAATTCAGGGAAAGTCCATAGGAGCTGCCGTTAATGTTTTATTTTTCTGTAAAACTGCAGTGGACATACTCATGCGGAAATTGTTCTTAGCAAGGATTAGGGATGTCTGTCCAAGGATGAGGTAATCAAGTGTTGATACATGATGGTGATGATGTCGTGTGACTCAAGTCAGGCTGTAGGCAAGGCACAGTTTACTATTGTTAAAATTCCAAGTCAGAAAGGTGGGAAAAGATTAAAAGCATTGGTTTAGAATCAGGACAAGATACATCCAGGATCAAAGACCATACTGCAGGACTGTGTTTGGCTCTCTGCTGATGACAGCCCCACAGTGTGATCCTCAGATAACACTGTGCCCTGAGGGGTCTTGCTGTGGCCTTGAACTCATGATCTTTCTGCAGATGAGCACCTCTATATCCAGCCCCGACACCAGTCCTGGGCATCAAGCTGAGGACTTACACATGCTTGACAGGTGCTCAGCTGCTGAGCTACATCTGCAGATTTAGTGAGAGAATTTGAATTTTTTCTGTAGATGGCTGTAGTGCATTGCTAAATGTCACTTCAAGGAAAATAAAATAAAGTCCCAGGACTGAATCTCAGGGTTTGAGAGATGGCTTGGCAGTTAAGAACACTTGTTACTCTTGCAGAGGATCTGGGTTCAGTTCCTAGCATCCATATGGTGGCTCAAATGCATCCGTAACTCCAGTTCTAGGGGATCTGATGCCTTCTGACCTCTGAGAGCACCAGGCATGCATGGGCACCTGGAATGCACAGACATACATGCAGGCAAACCAGTCGTACACTAAATAAATCTAAAAGAAAAGACTGAATCACAGATGCTCTCCCTGCCTATCCACTACACCAACCTAAAAATAAACCCGAAGGATTGTCGTTTAAGTGGTTTGAATGAGACATGATGGGATATGCTTGTAACTCCAGCATTCACTAAGGAGTTGGTCAAGGTAGGAGGATGAAGAGTCCCAGGCTAGCCTGGGCTACATAGTCAGACCCTATCTAAAAAGAAAAAAGAAAAAGAAAAGCCTTGAGGTACTAGGGCAGGTATCTGTGACGGGGGCAAAACCAACAACAACAACAAAAACAAATCCCCAAAAAACCTGTATGCCATGTGTAGAATGTTTGAAAAAATACCCATTAAATAAGCATGGTGGGGGGTGTATGCAGTGCTGAATCAATCTCACTGAACAGTGTAAAGTGGTAAAGGACACCTCCTGCCTGTGTCTCACTACCTCTCTAGGAAGTACAACCCAGTCCAGAGCCAGCTGCTCTTTACCAACCCTTTTAAGGATAGGGGAGTGAATTGTAGTTTGTAACAGAGTCCTTTTACTCAGGGTTGGGTTCGCTGAGGACATGGATCTACCTGAAACTTTTGATGCACGGGAACAGTGGCCCAACTGCCCAACTATCAAACAGATTAGAGACCAGGGGTCCTGCGGCTCTTGTTGGGTAAGACCTTGCTGGTGGGGAGGGCTTCCTGAAGAAGTCTGGTTGGGATGTGATCAGAGTATCTAGGAATCGACCAGATGGGACAAGGCAAATGAGGAAATGTTTGGAGTCCGTTTCTTTCCGTCATGACAGTGTATGATCCTTGTGGTTGGGAATTGTTGCAAGGATGAAGTGGATGACGGACATACAATGATGGACATACAGTGGGTCCTGTAGATCAGGGTCCATGTCTAGGCTGTGGAGCCATTTTCCCTCAGTAAACACAGCAGCTCTGATGAGACACAGCTTCAGGAGCGTTCTGTGTGTTAGTGAGGTATTCTGTGGTTTTTGAATTGTGGAAAAATAAGAATGACAGAGAATACAGATCTAATGGGAGAATTTGTTGCTCTTGCAGAGGATCTTAACTAAGTGTATAGTCCAGTGGCATTAAGTATGTTCCCAATGTTGGGCGGCCAATCCTACTGCCCGTCCACACAGTCCTTTCCTCTCCCCCAGATGAACCAATTCAGTCACACTGACTCCCTGTGGCTCTCCTCTGCCCATGGTGGCTCCCGTCTGCTCTCTGCCTTGGAATTTGCTCCTTGTGAGCCAAGGCCCTAGGTAGAAGCTTGGATTGGTCTCTTTAATGCTAAGTATGAGCCCAGAAGCTTCACCTGCCATCGAAAGGGTCTACCCATTTAGAAGGTTCAGGGCCCTCCCTGCTTCAGGTAAGGTGGGCTCCTCACCAATGGGACTTACTATTCCTACAGGCATTTGGAGCAGCAGAAGCCATGTCTGACCGACTCTGCATCCACACCCATGGCCATGTCAATGTGGAGGTGTCTGCTGAGGACCTGCTTACCTGCTGTGGTAGCCAGTGTGGGGATGGGTGAGTGTTGGACACCTCTTCCTGGAGACCCTAGCCCCTTCCTCCTTTGTACTTAGTAACTCAGGCTCCCCAGGGAGGGGAAAGCTGTTTTCATGGCTGAGACAGAGTGACATGGGAGTCTGTAGGCAGACTCTGTTGTAGCTGCTGCTGTTGAACTGCTCGGGACCAGGCTGGCCTCAGCTCAGTGGGGATAGAGTCTTGGTAGAAGATGGTCTCCAGAAGTTTTGCTTATTTTCTGTTCTCTGTCTGGCTTTTGCCCCACTTGTCCCCCGCATCACTTCCCCCACCCCCACCCCCAACTCAGGGAAATATACTGTCTGCTCTATAAGGATGACAGATCCCAGCTTGGGTGGGGGAGGGGTCACACTAAACTCAGTCCATAACTCAGGTGCTCACCAGGGTCACCTGGCCCTTAGTCTATTACAGTGGTGCAGGTTAGACATGCCTGAGAGTTTCAGAAGAAATGTTGTGGGTCTCACACCAACAGTGTAGGAGCAGCAGGAAGAAGGAGAAAGGTACTTCCCACCTCTCCCCAGGTAGAGCCCCACACTTCCATATTCTGCCTAGTGAATTGGAGCTGCACCACACCTCATTTTACAAGGGGTTCTGCTAAGTACAGCTCCCCTCCCCCAGTGGATGCCTTAAGTCAGGGGCATAACCCTGTGTTTGCCTGTTCCACTCACAGCGTTTCCATGTTCACTGTGGCCGTAACTGTAGAGTCCGACGGGTGGCAGCAAAGCCAACCTGAATCCCCCTTTCTTCATAATTTAAGGTGTAGAAGAGTCATTCTTACCGTAGATCTTAGCAACCTCGGTTTATGATTTTTTTCCTTCTCATTAAGTCCAGAACTTGTGCCTTTTCACATGAAGAAGGCACTTACAGCTTCCGTTTGGCGTGTCTGAGCTGCCAGCATTACCGCTCTTAGAATTAGCCGTCACGGATTACTTGAACCCACACTGCAGCATCACAGCTGTAGTTGGCTTTTTACTCTTCGCTCTTTAGGGGCCCCACCACCCAGCTCCCAAATAAACACACAGAGACTTATTCATACTTAGGAATGCCTGGCCTTAGCTTGGCTTGTTTCTAGTCAGCTTTGCTAACTTAAATCACCCCATCTACCTTTTGCCTCTGGGCTTTTACCTTTCTTTATTCTATATCTCTTTCTTTCCTTCTTACTCTGTGACTGGCTGTGTTGCTGGGTGGCTGGTCCCTGGCGTCTTCTCTTTTTCTTGCTCTTGCTATTCATTTTCTCTGCCTGGCAGCCCTGTCTATCCTTTCTCTCCTGCCTACTTATTGGGCATTCAGCTCTTTATTAGACCAGTCAGGTGTTTTAGGCAAGCACAGTAAACAGAGTTAAACAAATGCAGTGTAAGAGAATGCAGCACATCTTTGCATCATTAAACAAATATTCCACAGCATAAACAAATGTAACACATCTTCAACTAATATTCCACAACACATAGCTGTGGATTTGATGACCAAGATGACTCTCAGTTGGCTGGAGATAGTAGCGTATACAGCATGGATACTCTGGACAGAGATGATTGATGTTCTATGCTGAATGGACCAGAGAGTGTGAGAGTTCATCTTGCTACTCAGAACAGTATACAATTTAAAATTGAGGAATTAATTCTGGAATTTTCTACTTAACGTGTTTGGACCTTAGTTAATGGTATAACTAAAACCTCAGAAATCAAACTACCCAGGTGTGGTGGTGCATGTCTTTAGTCTCAGCACTCAGGCAGAGGAGTCTCAGCCTGATCTACAGAATGAGTGCCAGGACTACATAGAGAGACACTGTCTCAAAAAAAAGAGAATGAAAGAAATCAAGCTACAGATAAGGGAGGGGGGCTATTCCACTCAGGGTTTATAACACCCTGTGCAGTTGAGGACCACTGTTCCAGAAAGAGGGGAGCTTTGGAGGTCAGTTTGATATGGACATGAAAGAGTCCTTGTGGCTTGGCGGGTCCTTGTGGACAGATGGAGCTGGGTTGAGTCCCTGGTGGGGTGACAGTGGGGAGAGGATTCTTGGGAGGATGGTGTATTCCCAGGGGCCACCTTGGTATTTGTAACAATGTGTGGGAACAGCTGGGGTTAGCTCAACATTGATACAAGTATTTTTCCAGCTGTAACGGTGGCTATCCCTCCGGAGCATGGAACTTCTGGGTAAAACACGGCCTGGTTTCTGGTGGACTCTACAATTCCCATGTAGGTGAGTGTGTGCCTACAAAGCCCTGTCTCTCAGGTGGGTTTCATGGGCAAGTATTGGTGGCTTCCTTTTCTATTGTAAAGGGAAGGTCAACGGTAGAGGCCAGCTGACCACCTTCAATACAGGAGCAGCCCCCACAGGAAGTAGACAGAGTCTGGCTGCATTCCAGCTCTACCTGGCCTGGGGGGAGGGAGGTGTCTTGCATTGGGGGTCGTAGGCTGATGTCATCTTGTCCCCTCCATCTGTCAGGCTGCCTACCGTACACCATACCTCCCTGTGAACACCATGTCAATGGCTCCCGACCCCAGTGCAGTGGAGAGGGAGACACTCCCAGGTGTACCAAGAGCTGTGAGCCTGGCTATTCTCCATCCTACAAAGAAGATAAGCACTACGGTAAGCTGGGGCCTGCTGAGGTAGGAAGAAGCCAGTGCCCTTGAGTGTTAACGAGTCCAGCGCCCGGTGGTAGTGTACCTTTTCATCCCAACACTTGGTAGACAGAGGCAGGTGGATTTTATGAGTCCAAGGCCAGCCTGGTGTACAGACAGAGTTCCAGGATGGCCAGAACTACACAGAGAAACCCCAGGAGCAGCAGGAAGAAGGGAGGGGAGCTGAGTAATTCACACCTGTCTCACTGGACAGAGCTGGACACTCCATACTCTGTCTGGTCCACACTCTGTCCTGCCTCTGCCCATTTGGGCTCCAGGGGACCAGACAGACCATTGTTTTGCAAGGGGTTAGAACCTGGTTTTAAACCTTAGGGTCGTCTTGGCCTCTTCTAGGACTGTAGCTCTGCTCACTTCTTACTTAGGGAATCCTTCCTTGGCCTCTTCTGGGGGCACCTTCTCACCCTGCCCGGCTTTGTTCCTTCTGCAGGGTACACTTCCTACAGCGTGTCTAACAACGAGAAGGAGATCATGGCAGAAATCTACAAAAATGGCCCAGTGGAGGGTGCCTTCACTGTGTTTTCAGACTTCTTGACTTACAAATCAGGTACCTATTCACTCCAGTGGCAGCCAGGGTTGGAAAGTCAGAGCTCAAGGGCCCAGGGTCCACATAAGCCAGCAGGTCTCACTGGGAGGAAGGCAGAGGCTTCGGAGAGCAGAGCACTGGGACTCAGCCTCCTTCCCCACTCTCTCTCTCCTCTGGGCAGATAGTCAGCCTGTGGTGCTGGTCCAGTGGTCACAGCTTCCTACCTGCTCTGCTCACTGGCTCCCTCTCAGCGTGGTCTCCACAGAGCCTCTCTAGGGGTCCCTTTTCATCCCTGCCAACCCAGCTCAGCTCCCTACTCTGCTGATTTTTCTTCCTTAGCAGTCACCCTGTCTTTGTCTCTCATCCACATTTGACAATGGTAGTTCTTCTTTATCTTTACAAAGGCCTAGATCCCCTCAGCCTTCCACTTAGCTGGGATCACAGATGTGATTGTGATTAGCAGCTCGTAGCAGCTCATGTGTAGTCAGGCGTCTGGTAGAGCAGTGGTTCTCAACGTGGGTCATGACCCCTTTGGGTCAGTTTGTAACAATGGAAATGCATCCTACATATCAGATAGTTACATTACGATTCATAACAGCAAAATTACACTTATGAAGTAGAAACAAAAATAATTTATGGTTGGGGGTCACCACAACATGAGGAACTGTATTAAAGGATTGCAGCATTAGGAAGGTTGAGGACCACTGCTCCAGAGGAACAGAACTTAAAGAATGAATGAATCTGTCTATCTACCTACCTACCTATCATCCATCCATCCATCCATCCATCCATCCATCCATCCATCCATCCATCCATCCTTCTATCATATCTATCTCTATCTATCATCTATCTACCTATCTATCTATCTATCTATCTATCTATCTATCTATCTATCTATCTATCTATCTGGGATTTATTAGAATGACTTGTAGGCTGTGGTCTACATAGTCCAACAATGGCTACCTATCAATGGAAGGTCCAAGAATCCAGTAGTTGTTCAGTCTACAAGGCTGGATGTCTCAGTTAGTCTCAGTATTCACCGACTCCCAAAGAAGTAGGTTATAATGCGTGAAGGAATGGACTTGTTATTGAAAGCAAGCTGGCAGAGAGAGACAAGAGATACAGATAGAGATAGAGAGAGAGAGAGCGAGAGCGAGAGCGAGAGCGAGAGCGCGCTTTCTTTTTCCATGTCCTTTATAAAGGCTGCTAGCAGATGGTGTGGCCCAGATTAAAGGTGGATCTTCCCACTTCAGAAGATCAGAATTAAAGGTCTGTCTTCCCACTTCAAAGATCCAGAGTAAAGGTGGATCTTCCCACTTCCAGTGATTTAATTAAGAAAATAGCCTTCACAGGTGTGCCTAGCCTTTGGGTTTGATTCCAGATGTAGTCAAGTCGACAACCAAGAGTAGCCACCATAGCACTTGCACCCACATCACTTGAAGATACATTTCAGTTTGAGAAAGGAGTCACCCTCAAGTGGAAGGCCTGGGTGACCAGCTCTCTGGACACCTGAGCAGTGTCTCGGTCGCCAGGCAACAGTGGCGGCCATCCTTCTCTCCCTTACCTCCCCCAGTGGACCCCAGAGCAGCAGCTTGAGAACTCTGCAAGCCGTGTAAAGCTTGACGGATGAACCCGGACATGGAATCTCAGGGTGTAAAACAGATAATTGTCCCTCAGACTTTAAGTTTGCTTCATAACTTAGACAGGGTGGAGTAAGAATGTGGGACAGGCTAGAGACAGAGACACTAGGCCTGGCTTTTGAAACCTCAGCCCCCATCCCCACTGACACACAAGGCCACATCCCCCATCTTTCTGACCCCTTCAGATAGTGCCATTCCCTGGTATTCCATGGCCTTGCCGTGCTAACAAGTGCTTATCCTGAGGCCCCCCCCCCCCCCCAGCCTTCTAGAGATTTCTGTGGAGAGTAGTTGGTTCCTGTCAGCCTGTTGCTTCTGACTGGGTGGCTAACGGCTAACTGCCTTTTTTTTTTCCTCAGGAGTATACAAGCATGAGGCCGGTGACATGATGGGTGGTCACGCCATCCGCATACTGGGCTGGGGAGTAGAGAACGAAGTCCCCTACTGGCTGGTAGCCAACTCTTGGAACGTTGACTGGGGTGACAATGGTGAGTAGCAGTCCCCTTCCTCAGATTGCATAAGGAGCGATGAGCCAGAGCATCTTTGCTCCTCTGCTCTACTGTGGCCTGAGGCGTGGTCCTGACTGCCTCAGTGTATAGATACTTTGGTCTAGAGCCATCTCTGAGCCCTAGAGCTCCACATGGTTGAGTATACAGTTCCCATTGCATGGGCAGCATGTGAAGGGAACTGATGTGTCTCAGATGATGCTGGGGGGGGGGTCACATGACTTACCTTAGGTTTGGATGAATCTGAGTATACCATCAAGGTTCAAGGCTGAAGGCCACTGCACATGGCGGCCCTATCCCTGCACTCCTGTAGCCGTAGCACTCAGGATGCTGAGGCTGGAGGCTGGAGGCTGAAGTTGGTGGCCAGCCTTGGTTACAGAGTGGAACACCAAACCCAGAGCATACTTTGAAAACACCTTTTTTTTTTTTTTCCTCCTCAGGCCTCTTTAAAATCCTCAGAGGAGAGGACCACTGTGGAATTGAATCAGAAATTGTGGCTGGAATCCCTCGCACTGACCAGTACTGGGGAAAGTTCTAATGTGCTGTGGCCTGGTTGGCCAGTCGTTAGGGAGTTTTTCCCTAAATTTAGCTACCCAGGCTGGGAATGAGGCAGACAGGAAAGTTTTTGATTCTTTGAATTCACCTAAGATACATGAAGCATTCAGCAAGGCTTGAGTGACTGGACCAGAGCTGCCTGCCATCAGAGCTGCCCTCCATTTCCTCCTTCCAGGCTCCCTCCCAGCCTATTCCAGCAGTGATCACAGCCTGCATCCTAGCCTCCCCTAGACTAGTGCTGTTTGTAGTGTCTGCTGCTGCGGCTCTGCCTGCCACCCCCACATCTCCAGAGCAGGAGAGACCCAAGGGCTTTGGCTGCAGGTTTTCCAAAAGAAGGGAACACCAACTTCATGATGAGGACAAACGCCACCTGTCATCTGCACCTTGAAGCCAGTCACTTCCTAGGTCTGTGGCAGGCATTGATGGCCCAATGCAGTTCTCTGGAGAAAGCTACCTTTTTCCAAGGTACCTACATCCATCGCCCTTGGTAATGTGGCAAGCCCTGCCTGGTCTTGTCCTCAGCCGATGCTTTTTCAATAGTTTTATTTTTTTTTTTTTTTTGTGCACCTCAACTGAATATGTGAAATGAACAGGTCTAATTAGTTGAAGATCTGTACTGGTTTTACAGATTGTCTCCTAAGTGTATGGCTTAAAACAAGCTCAGTGGTCCTGGTTTGCTGGGTGACCTACTGACCTCAGACACCACAGTGAAGCTAGTCTGGGAAAAGCCTCTTTTATGTTGTAGACACCACTTCACCCTGTTAGTTTAACAAGGAATGACTGTGCCAATAAACCAATTCTCCCTCTGTTCGATGTCTGCTCTCATGGCCTCCTGGAGGCAGAGTGAACAATCCTGTGCTGCATTTTCAAGCCCTCTGTAGTGCCTCTCTCCTTAGTTTCCTGAAACCCTCCTCTAAGCCATGCCCAGGACTGTGCTCAGGCTCAGGGAGATTCTTCCTGCTCAGAGATAAGGGAGCTGGACATTAACCAAGCCTGTATGCCTGTGTGTATTTCATATAAGAGTAGGCTGTTACCTTCCTAGAGGGTCACATCTCCCTTGGGTGGAGCCAAAGCTTGTGTACTGTTTTAAGTTTTCTTGGTCACTGAATTAATGGCTGTTTCAAGAGATTCATTTATAAAAAAGTATCCTATTGATCTATTACTTTCCTTCCTGCTAAATGGGAGGGGCTGGTTCTTTCTAGAAGCTGAGGAAGCTTGCTTTCCCGTAAGTTGGAATCAGAACTCTATCAAGCTCTTTTAAAGCCTGGTGAGTGCTGGAGATATAACTCAGAGGTTAAGGCAACCTGGCTTGGGTACTGGGGCTTCAGTACTGCAAGGCATCTCTTGTCCCTAAACTATATCAAATAGTTCCCCTCCTCCACTGCCTTTCTTGCCTCACCACATGCCCACCTGCAACTCCATTCCTACCCCACTAGAGCCAGTGGAGATGGCTAAATTAAGAGAAGGACCTGGGGCATCCTCACAGTTGCTGGGATTAACGTAAGAATCATGGCTTCCGGAAAGGATGAGCATTAATACCTTTGTGCTTCCGTGAGAACAGAAGTTAACCATGTAACACGTTACTCTGACTGGTTTCAACAGGGTGATATTTGTCCATGGTTGAGCTACAAACGATCAATTAAATGAAGGCTCCATGCCCCAAGTGATCCCTGGTAGTCACAGTAAGGAAATCTCTGCTTGCATACAATGCTGCATGAACTGCAATGCTGGCTGAAGTTCCTCAGTGATGAAGTCAGCATACCCAGTAGGCTGAACAGGGGAGCAGACTGCACTATACATACATGTCTCAGTGTGGTTTGAGTGGCCCTCAAAGGATCATACGCTGGAAGCTTGGGCCACAGTTGGCAGTGAGGTGGCTGAGGCCCAGTGCAAGGTGATTAGGTTTTAGAGGCACTGTCCTCAAAGGAGGTCAATGCTTGTCTTTCAGAGTTCTTCTGAGACCAAGCTCCAAGGACAAGAATGGAATGGCTCATGTCTGTAACCCTTGCACTCAGAAGGCTGAGGCAGGGGGATTGCCATTAAGTTCAAGGCTACACAGACTTCCAGGCCAGCCTGAGCTAGTTTAAGACTGTCAGCATGCTGGGTTTTGACTCTCTTGCTTCCTGTCACATGTGCTCACTCCTGCATGTTCTACCAGTGTGCTGTCATTACCCATGAGGCCCTACGGAGGCTAAAGACGGGGGCCACCATCTCAGGTCTTCATCCTCCTAGGCTGTAAAAGAAATAAACCTCTTTTCTTGGTAAAGCAGTTGGCCTCAGGTATCGTGTTATAATGGGAAACATCAGCATGTTGCCTAGAGCCTCTCCACTGTCATGCCTCAAACGCTGGCTTTCAGATACACGGGTAGCCAGGGGCCATCATGACAATGTAGCAGACTAGCCATGCTAGAATTACCAATAGAGGAACCCATCTTCCTGCCTGTCATCATTTGTCTTGAGATTCATCAGTATAAAAACGTGGGAGGAAAAACCAGAACAAATGACTATAGAGGTGGCTGGTAGGGCAAATGCCAAGGTGATGTCGCTGCCTGCTGCGCTCCACCAGCAGCACCAGGCAGCCATCAAGCCTTTCCCAGTCCTTACTAACTGGCTTGGTTGCGGTGACAGATGACCGTGTCTTAGGATCACTGTACCATCTGCCTGGCTTTCAGGTGAACTGCTCTTGACAATTTCAGTCATTACAAGGGATTTTTAAGTTTGTTACCTTGTGGTGCTGGGGATCAAATGTAGGGCCTTATGGTAGTTTGAATGTAATTGGCCCCTTAATCCCAAAGGGAGTGGCACTAATAGGAGGTGTGGCCTTGATGGAGGAAGCATGTCACTGGGGGGTGGGTGGGTTTTGAGGTCTCTCTTGCTCTAGCTTCACTCAGTGACACAGTCCACTTTCTGTTGCCTTCTGATCAAGATGTAGCCAGCACCATGTCTGCCTGCATGCCTCCATGATCCCTGCCATGATAATGAACTGAACCTCTAAACTGTAAGCAGCTGCCTCAATTGAATGTTTTCCTTTATAAGAGTTGCCGTGGTCATGGTGCCTCTTCACAGCAACAGAAGCCCCAACTAAAACAAGCCTTGTGCGAATTATGCAAATGTTCTACCACTGGAGTTATATTCCAGCCCTTACATGCTATTATAAAACCTCAAGATCAAAAGCTTTGACTGGAGGCCACGCTCCTGACAAGTGACCAAAGGTACCCATGAATACTTCAGCTCCCTTTGAGTGACAAAGACACACCTGCACTCTTGGGAGGCTTGGCAGTACCACCTAGAAATGATAATGATTAACGCCTTCCACCGTCAAATGGATGAGAAAAGCAGGAAGCAGACAGAAGGAAAAGTCACCTCATTTTCTATTATGATAGGTATTCAAAGGCTGTTTCAAATTAAATAAGTTCAATCATCACTCTAGCCAGGTTCACTAGGATCTGGTGGCCACATGGGGTGGCCACCCCTTCTAAAGGGCAGCAGTCAGTGAGCAGGCTGCCAATGGCTACAAGAGGCAGAGGAGTCCCGCACGACCCAACAAGCACCAGGCTGCTGACGGCAAGGTGTCCTGTCCTCTGCACGGTTTCTAAAGGTCCCACACACAGTTCTCCTGGAGATAAGAGTAGGGAAAATGAAAGGGAAGTCAAAATCCACCTGGAGGAAAAGGTAAAACCATTTCATGTGAACTTCGGCTTCCAGCCAAATCCAGTCAGTGTTCTCCTGTCTGCACATAGTCTTCTGTGACCTGGGACAGGGTGCTCAGGCACTGCCAGCTCAGGGCAGCCAGAAGCATGACAAATGACAGGTAGATGGGGGAGTAGTGGCTTCGGGAGATGAGCTGACAGTTGGGAAGGTTCTGTGTCCGGATGGTGGAGATGATCTGCTTGGTTTCGCTAGAAGACGGGTCTGAGTTGGGGATCCGGTGATAAATCTGTTAGGGGAAGAAGAAAAGCTACTTAGTACTGTCTCCAGTGCGCCACTTGCAGACATTTGCCATGGTTGGTTCTACCTCTTCTCAACAGGTAGGTGCTCCATGCCCATGTCACCAAGGAGAAAGCTGAAGTTCTGAGAACAGGAGTGACTTGCTACTCCGATAAAGCAGAAGTGCCACCCAGGCGTGTCCTGTTGACGAGGAAGCACAGTGCAGTGCACACCCCACCAAGGAGCACTAAGTGCCTAGAGAGCGGCCACTGCACCACTCCAGATCCCCATACCTCACGGTGCCCGGGGCATGTTAGCATGATGCAGTTACGCTGACCAAAGGCATGGATGGGTTGGGTGGGGAGACTCCAATCCCAGCAGCTGGGCAAAAGTAGCTCAGGTGAATAGGGCGTAAGGTAGCAGGAACAGCAGGGGTCGCCATGCAGTCCTGTCAGGACCTCCTCAGCGCTGCTCCTTACAGGAACCTCCTGCACATCTGCAGAGTCCTATTCTTCCACAGCTATGCCACCACTGCCGAGTCATGCCCTTCGTGACTCACATCCGAGCCCCAAATCCACTCACCCTTTCACAAGGTCAACAGAGATGGACAGCCTGTTTCAGTAACTCCGTGCCCTCCCCATTACCTGTAGACTATCTGAGCTCCTTGCTGTGGACATGAAGTGACTCGGGCCGTACCTTCTCCAACTGCACAGGCCCCTGGGTACCTCTCTTCACACATGCAATGCTATGGCCACTTCTCCTTTCCCACCACACCCTCCACACTGCACCTCCAGGTACCGTCACCCGTCTCTTGCCTATCCCCCAAGTCTCAACTGAATCAAACTGACAGCTTACTGGCAAGAGGGTTGACAAACTGAGCCAGAACTGGGGCATGAGGTGGAGAGGATGGAACAGGCATTTTACAGATGTTTAGCCAGGCACGTGGTGTACATTTCATCATTTAAGCACTTGGGAGGATGTGAGTTGAGCACAGCCTGGGCTATAGAGTGAGATCATTTAAAAATAAACAGGACCCAGGGCTGGAGAGATGGCTCAGCAGTTAAGAGATCTGTTCACATCATCCACATGGAGGCTCACAGGAACCTGCAACCCCCGTTCCAGAGTTCCTGGTAATGCAGGATTACCTCTACCCCAGTAATGCAGGACTTCATTCTACAGAAGAAGCCAGAACACATGAAGGGTGAATGCCGGTTGTAGCATTTTGTTTTGACACCTCATTGGCAGCCATAGCAGCTTTCCATCACTATAATGGACTACCTAAATTAACTTTCAAAAAGAATGGGTTATTTTGGCTGAGTGTTGGAGGTTCCAGCCCATGACTGACTACCCCACTATTTGGGGCCTGTGACAAGGCAACACACCATGCAAGTGCATAGTGATGTAAGCCCTCTATATCCAGAACCAGGGAGTAAAATGAAGAGACTGGCCCTGTCCTCTTCAAGGCACACCCTTGCCATGCACTCTCATGTCCTGGCCTTTATGGGCAGGGAGAGAGACCTGTAAGGACCGGCCCCAGCCTGTGGGTAAGAAGTGGAGTGTGTGGGGTTTTCAGGTGCTGTTATAAGCAGAATTTTTTTTAATCTACAATAAGTTTTAAATTATTTTATTTATTTTTGCATATGTGTGTTTATCTGTGTGAGTGTATGACATGTGAATGCAGGTGCCTGCAGAGGCCGGAAGTGAGTGTTTGATCCCCTGGAGCTGGAATCACAGGTGGCTGTGAGCCTCTTGGTGTGGGTGCAGGGAACTGAACCCCTGACTTTCTTCGTAAGCTGCAAACATTCTTAACCACTGAGCCCCTACACTTAACTTTTTTTTTTTTTTTTTTTTTTTTTTTGGTTTTTCGAGACAGGGTTTCTC